TGACTCAGGTGAGGAAACAGATACAAAATGAAGGCAGAGATGCCAGGCTTTTAGTTTACTTAGACCCAAGGTGAAGGAGTCAGTACTTTTTACCAAAGCAGTTGCTAAGCATCTGTTATAAAATGTTTGTTAAAACTTGCATTATTGATTTCAAAATGAAACATAATTGTGACATAATTTTTCCTTTTTTCAGCATTATCTGCATACCAGAGGTACTTACAGTTTACAATCTGACTACTGGAAGGTTAGTACACATTAGCATGCCTCTTTTCTATTTGTCCTGTTGTCAGATTATACTAAAAAATGAGTTTCTTTGCTTTTTTGTTAATCCTTAAAAATAATTACTTCTAGAGGAAAAGAGATTAGAAAAGGAAAAGGAGTATTGTTTTGTTAACCTTATGTGAATCATCTGTATTTTTCTTAAAGAGGATAGATTCTCTGACAATTTTATTGGCCGAGATGATCCTAACTGAAATATGTTAAAATCTAGCAAACCAACTAACAAACAAATGATTTGTTTGTCTTTCAGTTTGATTTTCTTACCTTAGGTTGGTATATTGGAGTAAAGAAGGAATGAAGATGGGTTTATTAGGCTGAAATGGAGAGGTGTAATGGGAAGTTATTGTGAGCTCTCTTGTTATAGTCGGAGCTCTGAGGAGACTGAACCTAACTTTGGGACAGATAAGAACTGTGCATAATGATTGATCATCCATTTTCTTGTCTTAGTGTAAGCCATGCATAAAGTTATTTGGACAGGTTAATATTTCACATCACCTTACTTTTAATGTGTAAGTTTATTGACAGTGGAGTTTTTCTTTATCTGAATTGCCATTAATAGATTTCTTGTGGATTTTGTTTTTTGATTGCCCTAGTTTATCTTTTCCTTTTTGTATATAAGTTTAGGTGTAGGTCCTTATTACAGTCAGATTGGCTTTGCCTGGGAAAACCCTGTAACAGTAGCCCTGTGCAGAGAGACTTTATAGAAGTTTTAGAAAGATACTTTGGTATATTTAAGTATATTGAAAAACATCTTCTGTAGGTCTTGTGGGCATATCCTCTTTAAAAGCTTTTATTGAGATACAATTTACAATACTGTAAAATTCAACTGTGGCAAATCATTGGTTTTTAGCAAATCTTCAGAGTGGTTCAACCATCACTGCAATCTTGTTTAGATACTGTCTGTCTTTCCAGCGTGAAACTTTGTGCCACCTTTATCTGTGCAACCACTAATACACTTTGTATTTGTCTTTTTTGGATATTCATGTAATGGAATCATATAATATGTTGGTCTTTGTGACTGGCTTCTTTCACTTAGCATATTGTTTTCAAGGTTCATCCATATTGTAGTGTGAATACTTATACATTCTTACTCTATAATGTTCCATTTTATTGATACATCATATTTTTATTTATACATAAATTGGTGGTAATTTGAATTGCTTATACTTTTTAGCTATTGTGAAATAATGTTGCTATGAGCATTTGTGTATAAATTTTTGTGTGGATGTAATGTTTTCAGTTCTTTGTGTAGAAACTCAGAAGTGGAATTACTGGTTGTAAGGTAAATCTATGTTTAACATTTCGAGAAACTCCAAAAGTAATTTCCAGTGGTCTGTACATTTCATATTCCCACCAGAGTGCATGAGTGTTCCAGTTTTTCTTCGTATCCTCATCAATAGTTATAATTGTCCAGGTTTTTGAGTTGTAAGCTTTTTGTGTAAGTTGCATCTTCCTATGTTTTTTTTATTTGCATTTCTCTAATGACTAGCAATGCTGATCATCTTTTTTTTTTTTAATTGTTTTGCTGAGTGGGGGTACATTGTGGCATCCACAGAAGTTCTTACAATATATGAAATATAACATAGTCGAAATCACCCCATCCATCATTCTCCTTTATCACCTCTTCCCCCATTCTGTAGAGTTTCAACAGGTACCATTTTCCATTTACATACATGTGTAACAGTATTTGCATTGTATTCGCCTCCCACACCCTTTCCTTTCGTTTTCTACTCCTCTCCTTCCACTGGCAACAACCCCTCCTCACCTGTTCCGCTCTCTTGTTCTCTGATTTTGAAAAAAAATGATATTTTTGTTTGTTTAAGATAGCTACACAGAGAGTTTACTGTACATTTCCATGTGTATATGTATTATGGCCCGCATTTGGCTCAGCTGATTATCTTTCCATGAACATATTATGTATTTATGATTCTTTGAAATGACTATTCAAAGTGCCCCATTTTTAAACTGGGTTTTATAAAACTTGAGTTAAAAGTTTTTTATGTATTCTAGATGCAATCTTTATTCAGGTCTATAATTTGCAAACTTTCTTAAGTTCTATGCTTGGTGTTTTTTACTTTCTTGTGAAATATTCAAGTAATTATACTATAATATTTTACAGGAGTTTTATAATATGCTTTAGCATGTCTTTCCTCATCATTCATGGTTTTAGGGTTATCTTCAGTTGCTTGGTTTTCCAAATAAACTTCCTAATAACTTGTCTAGCCACAGAAAAAGAGCTAGTGTTTTTTTTTGTTTTTATCCCACCTTATTTTGGAGGATATTTACATTATTTTACCAATTTGCTGACGTTTCAGCATTTTTATAAGCTTATTTTAACCATTACCATAATTAAGTACGTGCAATATTTCCATTACTTCAAAAGTGTTTATGTTCCTATACCATGTGATTCTACTCTTTGATTCCTGGTCAGGTACCACTTAACTACTTTTGATTTAAAAAAAAAAAAAAAAAAGCGCTAAGAGCTTTGACTTTTCTAGAATGTCATTAACTGATTCAAGTAACAGGCTTTCTTTTGTTTTTTATGTCTTTCCTTGATACGCCATTTTTTTGAGATTGATCTCATTGTTGGGTGGAACAAATAGTTTCTGTAAACTTAAGTAGTATTTCATAGAATCTGTATTCCACAACTATTTTTTCTGTTTATCACAGTTAGGCATTTGAGTTGTCAACAGCTTTTAATTAGTATTAATAAAGTGCTGTGACCATTATTTTGGCCTTGTATTTTGGGCATGGTATTTCATTTCTCTTGGTAAATATATACCTAGGATTTGGGAAGATATCACACCCTGTTGTACTGTGTAAGTTAACTACCAATAATTTCAACACTGGTTGTAACCATTCATATTCCAACTTTTCAGCAATTAGTGAGATTTTTCTAGGTGTTCTATATCTTCATTGTCTATCTTTTCAAAATGTTAGCTATTTAGTGTGTATTATTTAGTTTTATTTTCATTTCTCTGATTTGTGATGTGCATCTTACATGTATTACTGGCTTTGTACACTTTGTCTTTTGTTATCTGTTCACATATTTTGACAATTAAAAGATTTCTTTTTTGTCTTCTCAGTTTGACTTATGGGCTCTTTACATGCTTTGGATAAAAGTCTTGTTCAGATAAATGCGAAATGTTTCTTACAGTCTGTGGCTTGCCTTTTAATCTTGTATCTTTTCAGGAACAAATATTTACTATTTTGAAAGATGTCCATTAAATCAATTTTTCTCTTTCACAGCTTGTACTTTTTGTATTCTGTTTAGGAATTCTTTGCCTACTAGATTATAAAGATTTCCTGACCGCTCCCCCTTTTCTAGAAGTTCTAGAACTATATTTATTTTTTTATCTAACACTACTTCTATTTTTAAAGTATTTTTTTATTAACCCATTACACTATACATGTTTCAACACTTACATAGAGTGTGTCCTTTCTGTATTATGTTTTATTCTTTTAAGTAACCTCTCTGTAGATCTTCCGAAAATATAGTAGGTGGTTATATGTGACTATAGTCATCCTGTAAAACATTAGAACTTACTCCTTTTCTAGCTTGTAAATTTGGTACCTGTTATCCAGCATCCTTTATTCACCCCACAACCCTCTTCCAGTCTCTAAATTACTAGTCTAACATTCACGGTTGACTTTTTTTTTTTTTTTCCCCTAAGCATCCACATATGAGAGAAAACATACAGTATTTTCTAGCTATTTATAGTAATATAATATCATCTAGTCCATTTATTTGCTTCAAATGATAGGATTTCCATTATCTTTTATTTTGTCTGAATAATATTCCACATTTTCTTTTATCTGTTGACCCAGCTAGATAGAAACTAAGTTCATTCTGCATTTTAGTTATTGCAAATGGGCATGATAAATGTGGAAGTAAAGTATCTGTTGGTATACCATTTATTTCCTTTGGCTGTGTACCCAGACGTGTGATACCTGGATTCATATGGTAATCTAGTTTTGTTTTTATTAAGGAGCCTTCACACTGTTCTCCTTGATGGCCACATTAACTTTAGATTCTCACTAAAAGTATGTAAGGTTTTTTTTCTCCTCACATTCTTCTCCCAGTACTCTATATTATATTATTTTTTATAATGTCCCTTATATTTGCTAGGGTAAGATCTATCAAGGTAGTTTTGATTTGCATGTCCCTGATGTGTAATAATATTGACATTTGTTCATATATTTTTTGTCCATTCATATTTTCTTCTTCTTTTAGGAGGTATGTAGTCAGGACTGAGAGGTGTGGCTCCAAACCATAGAGTGCCTGCTTTGCAAGTGCGAGCTGAGTTCAAACCCCAGTCAAACCATTAAAAAAAAAAAAAAAAAAAAAAAGCTGTGGAGTGACTTGTAATAGAGTGCCTGCTTAGCCAAAAAATTAAAAAAAAAAAAAAGTGTATTCAGATAACTTACCCACTTTTTAAATTGTTTTGGTTTTTGAGTTCCTTATACATTCTGGATATCAGTTTTGTGTCATATGAACAGTTGGCAAATATTTTTTCCCATTTTTAAGTGTCACTCTTGCTGTAACAGAAGCATTTTAGTTTGATGTAGTCCATTTGTTTGTGCTTGATTTTGTTTTCCTATGCCTTTGGGATCA